GTGTTTGGAGGTGGTGAGCATTGGCGTCAAGGAAGACTTGGCATCAGGGTTTCCTAGTCTTCAAGTACGAGTAGTTTAGGATCCGTTCAATCAGGACTTCGTTACTTAAGGTGTATCCTCCTCCTCCCTGGTTTTGTCAGTGTTATGGAGTAATCTCCAGTTGAATCAGGACTTCCTTGCCCAAGGTGTATCCTTCTCCTCCCTGGTTTTGTCAGTGTTGTGGAGCAATCTCCTGGCCAATGCATGTATTTGAGTCCTGTTGAGAACTGAAAATGAAAGAAGCCGGTGTTTGGAGGTGGTGAGCATTGGCGTCAAGGAAGACTTAGCATCAGGGTTTCCTAGTCTTAAAGTACGAGTAGTTTAGGATCCGTTCAATCAGGACTTGATTAGTCGAGGTGTATCCTCCTCCCCCCTGGTTTTGTCAGTGTCATGGAGCAATCTCCAGTTGAATTAGGACTTCGTTACTCAAGGTGTATCCTTCTCCCCCGTAGTTTTGTCAGTGTTGTGGAGCAATCTCCTGCCCCATGCATGTATTTGAGTCCTGTTGAGAACTGAAAATGAAAGAAGGTGATGAACATTGGCGTCAAGGAAGACTTAGCATGAGGGTTTCCCAGTCTTAAAGTACCGGTAGTTCAGGATCAGTTGAATCAGGACTTCGTTACTCGAGGTGTATCCTCCTCCTCCCTGGTTTTGTCAGTGTCATGGAGGAATCTAAGGTTGAATCAGGACTTCCTTACTCGAGGTGTATCCTTCTTCTCCCAGGATTTGTCAGTGTTGTGGAGCAATCTCCAGTTGAATCAGGACTTCCTTACTCGAAGTGTATCCTTCTTCTCCCAGGATTTGTCAGTGTTATGGAGCAATCTCCAGTTGAATCAGGACTTCCTTACTCAAGGTGTATCCTCCTCCCTGGTTTTGTCAGTGTTATGGAGCAATCTCCAGTTGAATCAGGACTTCCTTACTCGAGGTGTATCTTTCTTCTCCCAGGATTTGTCAGTGTTATGGAGCAATCTGCAGCTGAATTTGGACTTCGTTACTCGAGGTGTATCCTTCTTCTCCCTGGTTTTGTCAGTGTTATGGAGCAATCTCCAGTTGAATCAGGACTTCCTTACCCAAGGTGTATCCTCCTTCTCCCTGGTTTTGTCAGTGTTATTTAGCAATCTCCAGTTGAATCAGGACTTCGTTACTCCAGGTGTATCCTCCTCCTCCCTGGTTTTGTCAGTGTTATGGAGCAATCTGCAGTTGAATTAGGACTTCGTTACTCAAGGTGTATCCTTCTTCTCCCTGGTTTTGTCAGTGTTATGGAGCAATCTGCAGTTGAATTAGGACTTCGTTACTTGAGGTGTATCCTTCTTCTCCCTGGTTTTGTCAGTGTTATTTAGCAATCTCCAGTTGAATTAGGACTTCTTTATTCAAAGTGTATCCTCCTCCTCCCTGGTTTTGTCAACAATGTGGAGCAATCTCCTGCCCAATGTATGTATTTGAGCATGAACTGTAGTCACTCCTGATTGTTTTCCCTTCTATAAACTCCATTTTCATCCTTCACTCAATGAGGTGCCTGATTACAAAACGAGTTGGATCACAAGAGAGAAACTATTCTCTTGCATTGTGTGTCACCGACAATTGCAACCTGGTTCGGCTTTTGCATTCGTACCGCACTCACTCCGGACTGAATGCTATTCTCGCCGGGTTGTTTTCCCTTCTATAAACTCCATTTTCATCCTTTACTCATTGAAGTTCCTGACTAAAAAAAGGAAGGGTTGTATTGCAAGAGGGAAAGGGTTCCTTCACAATGCATGTCACCAACAATTGGCACCTGGTTCGGTTTTTGCATCCGAACTGCACTCACTCCGGGATGAATGCTATTCTCGTCAGGTTGTTTTCCCTTGTAGAAATTCCATTTTCGTCCTTCACTCAATGAGGTGCCTGATTTAAAAAAGGAAGAGTTGGATCACAAGATGGAAAGGGTTCCCTTGCATTGTGTGTCGCCAACAATTGGCACCTGGTTCGGCTTTTGCATTCGAACCGCACTCATTCCGGACTGAATGCTATTTTAGCCAAGTTGTTTTCCCTTCTATAAACTCCATTTTCAATGAGATGTCTGATTAAAAAAAGGAAGAGCTGGATCACAAGAGGGAAAGGGTTCCCTTACAATGCGTGTCACCGACCATTGGCACCTGGTTCGGCTTTTGCATTTGAACCGCACTCACTCCGGACTGAATACTATTCTTGCCAGGTTGTTTTCCCTTCTATAAACTCCATTTTCATCCTTCTCTCATTGACTAAAAAGAAAGAAAGAGTTGGATTGCAAGAGGGAAAGGGTTCCCTCACCATGCATGTCACCAACAATTGGCACCTGGTTCGGTTTTTGCATTCGAACCGCACTCACTCCGGACTGAATGCTATTCTTGCCAAGTTGTTTTCCCTTCTATAAACTCCATTTTCAATGAGATGTCTGATTAAAAAAAGGAAGAGCTGGATCACAAGAGGGAAAGGGTTCCCTTACAATGCGTGTCACCGACCATTGGCACCTTGTTTGGTTTTTGCATTCGAACCGCACTCACTCCGGACTGAATGCTATTCTTGCCAAGTTGTTTTCCCTTCTATAAACTCCATTTTCAATGAGATGTCTGATTAAAAAAAGGAAGAGTTGGATCACAAGAGGGAAAGGGTTCCCTTACAATGCGTGTCACCGACCATTGGCACCTGGTTCGGCTTTTGCATTTGAACCACACTCACTCCGGACTGAATACTATTCTTGCCAGGTTGTTTTCCCTTCTATAAACTCCATTTTCAATGAGATGTCTGATTAAAAAAAGGAAGAGTTGGATCACAAGAGGGAAAGGGTTCCCTTACAATGCGTGTCACCGACCATTGGCACCTTGTTTGGTTTCTGCATTCGAACCGCACTCACTCCGGACTGAATGCTATTCTCGCCAGGTTGTTTTCCCTTCCATAAGCTCCATTTTCAATGAGATGCCTGATTAAAAAAAGGAAGAGCTGGATCACAAGAGGGAAAGGGTTCCCTTGCCACGCGTGTCAGCGACCATTGGCACCCGGTTCTTTGGCTTTTGCCTCGGATAAGAGGGGAGAGCGGGGAGTGCCATGGGTCCCTTTAATTCCCCTTTTTGTCTTTCTGGGGGAGAGGGCGAGAGGAGAGCCTTGAGGAGCCTCAGCCTCAGCTGCCCTCCTTGGATCCCCTGCCAGGGCTGCTATCATCTTCTGATCAAATATTAATGTGCGATTCTCTGCTTGCTCACTAATCCAAAGCCAATTAATATTATCTGTCAATTATTTACAGATCCTGAGGTGCGGAGGCAATTCCCGGAGGACTACAGTGACCAGGTTTGGAATGTGTAATTAATTTTTTACACGACAAAATTCATTTCAGGGTTGTTCAACATATTATTGCTCTTCTTTTCTCTCATATATATATCTATATATAATATATATATTTACGGCATTTATATGCTGCCCTTCTCACCCCGAAGGGGACTCAGAGCGGCTTACAATATATATTTTCATACAATATATTATTAGCATAGTACAATATCAGTATATATTACTATATTGCACTATACAATTATATTGTAATATTATTAATAATATTACATGTAATGTAAATATACAATTATAATTATAATATTGAATTGTTATTACTAGTATTATATTGTATTACATTATAATATTATAAATATTATATGTATATACAATATACTATATTATATTATTAGTAAAGACAAGATGGAAATGTCTTCTGCTCCCCTCTGTGCATAAAAATGTAATGTTTGTTTGTGGGATTAACAGAACTCAAAAACCACTGGAGGAATTGACACCAAATTTGGACACAAGATACCTAACAACCCAATGTATGTCCTTCATTCAAAAAATACACTGAAAAACACAACAGAAGGGACTTTCAAAGCCCCAAAAAGCTAAATGATGAAAAGCTAAATGACAATACAGAAAAAAGGGAAGAAAGAGGGAGGTAAGGGGGGAAAAAAAGAAAAGAAAGAGGGAAAGAAAGAAGGAAAGGGAGAAGGAAGCATGGAAGCAAAGAGAGGAGGAAGGAAGGAAAGAGGTAGAAAAGGAAGAAAGGAGAGAAAGAGGGAGGGAAAGAAAAAGGGGGAAGGAAGGAAAGTTAGAGAAGCAAGGAAGGAGAGAAGGAAAGAAAAAAAGGGAAAGAAGGTAGGAAAGAGGGACCGAAGGAAAGGGGGGGAAGATGTAGAGAAAGAGGGAGGGAAGGAAAGAGAGAAGGAAGAAAAGAGAGACAGCAGAAGAAAAAGAAAAAGGGGGAAGGAGGGAAAGTTAGAGAAGGAAGGAAGGAGAGAAGGAAAGACGGGAAGGAAGGAAGGAAAGAGGGACCGAAGGAAGGGGGGGGGGAGATGTAGAGAAAGAGGGAGAGAAGGAAAGAGAGAAGGAAGAAAAGAGAGACAGCAGAAGAGAAAGAAAAAGGGGGAAGGAAGGAAAGAGATAGAGAAAGAAGAGGAGGAGGAAAGACGGGAAGGAAGGAAGGAAGGAAGGAAAGAGGGAGTGAAGGAAGGAGGGAAAGAAGGAGAGAAAGAGGGAAGGTTGGTCACAGCAACGCGTGACGGGTACAGCTAGTGTGTGTGTGTGTATACATATATATATGCACACATACATACACATAGAAGAAAAGCAAACTAATTAGAAAACAGAACAATTTCAAATGTGTCCAGTTTCCAAGCTCGATAAGAAGGGCGTTTTCACTGCCGGCAGTCGTTCCATAATGTAAGGGTCTGTTTTTATTTTTGAGGAAGCAGATTCATACATTTTATTTTTGCAAAAACACACCCACCGGCGTTGTCTTGGAAATGCGGCAGGCGGCTCGTGAGGGTTTGCAGAAATCCTCATCTTTGGCATCGGCTTTTGCAAGGTTTTTGCATTGATTTGGCATCGTGACATATATATTTCTTTTTTGGTCATATCAACATTTGTAACCTAATGGTATTAAGAAATTGGGGGGTGGAGTGGGGGGTGCTGGTGCTTGTAGGATGCCGTGGGAATTTTGCAATTATCGCCAAGCGCCGAGGGGAAGGGGAAGGCATCCTGCTCCGTGGTGGAGGTTGGTTTGTGAGGCCGGCTGGAATAACTGAAAGCTACCGCTGGTCTCGATGGCTGCTTCCTCCTTTGAATGCATCTCATTAGAGAAATGCATTCAGAGGGAGGGACGGAGGGGAGTTTTTGTTTCTGCTCAACATGTCTATGTAGTTAACACACTCTTGTTCATTCGCCAAGGAAGCCCCAGCTTTTGCACTGGGCTTCTCCCCTCGTTGAGTTGGGTCAGTCCAGGCAGTCCCCACGTTATGAACCAGTGAGTTTGCTCTTAAGTTGAATTTGAATGCAAATAAATGCAACTCCAGCCAAATCTCTCGCACAAGTTGGCCAATTCTGTCACACCAGAAGCGACTTGCAGTTTCTCAAGTTGTTCCTGACGCAAGAAAAAATATGACTGTATTTTGATATAATTATCACGGCAGTCCCCAAGTTACTCACAGGATAGGTTCTATAGGTTTAATGTGTTGTCGAAGGCTTTCATGGCTGGAATCGATGGGTTGCTGTGAGTTTTCCAGGTTGTATGGGGAGAATGCTTCTGGAATATGGCCATACAGCCCAAAAAACTCACAGCAACCCAGTTGTGTAGGTTTGTTCTTAAGTGTAACTGTGTGTGTGTGTGTGTGTGTGTGTAACTCAAGCTGCCTGTAGAAAGAAACATGAACGGATTCCTCTGCACAGTGCACAGATCTTATCTTCTCGGTGGTGGCCCCTCGACTCTGGAACTCATTCCCTAAGGACATCAGGCATGCCCCAACTCTGGCAGTCTTTAGGAGGAGCTTGAAAACGTGGTTCTTCCAGTGTGCCTTCCCAGAATAACGAACCCTAAAAGCACTTTATACTGATTTAGGACTGCTTGTACGTTTCCACCAACGTCCTACGTCCTCTATCTTGTTCATGCCCAGCATTATTTTTTTTTAACTTTAATTACATTTGACCCAGCCATAGATTTTAAATGTGTTTTGTGCTATTGTTCAGTGTGTGTGCTATTTATGTATGAGTTTTATTTTTAATTGCTTTGTTTTAGTATTTGTATTTTGCTTTGTATTGTGGTTGTTATTGTATGTATTGTTGTATTTGGGCTCGGCCTCATGTAAGCCACACCGAGTCCCTTGGGGAGATGGTAGCGGGGTATAAATAAAGTATTATTATTATTATTATTGTTATTATTATTATTATCTATAGTGGGGAAAAAATACAGAACAATACAATATTTGAAAGGAAGGACAATTTGAACCAACATAAACTTACCAGTATTTCAACGGGAAGTGTGGGCCTGCTTTTGGCTGATGGGAAAGTCAAAGAATTAGTATCATCATCATCATCATCATCATCATCATCATCATCATCTCCATCCTTAACTTTGCTACCCAAGAGTGTTTGCTGCCTCTTCACGACTGAAATGCAGCGTTTGCACCATAGCTTCAAGGGGAAAAGTGCACGCTTCTCGAATTTGTGGGAGTTCCAAGTTGAGAAGCTTGCTTCCACCCTCAAAATGATGGACCACTTTTTCCCCATTTCCTTTTTTATAATGGCAATTATTTTAAGTGCAAGAGAACTAATCAGGATCGGGGCCTTGCCTCTCTGGCTTCTGCAGGGCTGATGTGCTCCGAGGTGTGGTTTACGGCAGGCTTAAATTTCTCTCTTTCTTTTTCTTCGCGGGTTTGACAAAAGGGAAAAAAATATTTTATGTATGAGCCAGTCCTATAATCCATAGATCACAAGCGCACGAGACAGCAAGAGCTCGGAGGGACCCTTAATCCGACTACATTTCACATGATAGACTAGCAGCTCTTTCAACGCGCAATGCTGCCGACGTACTTGGGGAGCTATTTATTAACAGATTATTGGCACGAGGTGGCAATGTGGACTCTTGTGCGTTTACACAAGGATGCTTTGTCGCACAACCTCCCTAAAAAGGGGGCAAGAAGAAACCCGTTCATGCCACAGACTTCCTATCAATGCTGCCCAAGCTCTCCGGAGCGCAGGCCGCATTGTCCCGGGCAGGGCATGCGCCACTGCAACGGTGAGAGGCCTGCGCACCCCGAGGGGCCCAAGGCTGAGACAGGCTCAGCGGGATGGAGACGCTGCTGTGCCTTCCGCCTTTTAAAGGGGAGGCAGAAGGGGAAAGGATCCAAATCAAAACCGTCTGGAAGGAAACGTCGTTAAAAACCCAGCACAGGGGACGGCTGGAGGTTTGTTTTTTCTGCTCCCGGCGCTATGGCACAAAAGTCCTCCGGCTAAATGGAAAGGACAAGGAAGGGAAAAGGAATGGATCGGGTTTCAGGCCAGACTGCACATCAGGCAGTCCCCGAGTTGCAAACATCCGACGTACAAACGTCTCCTAATTTGAGGAGTGAGACAACAGGAAGTGAGAGGAATCTTGGAAGGAAGGGGAATCCATTCCTGGAAGAGTTGTTATTATTATCATCCTAGGGCAAAGGAGTCTCCACTGATTTCTCTCCAATCAGTCCTTGTTTCCACAACAAGGATTTGCAAAATCCAGTTCTCGGAGGGACAGAAAAAGAGTGGAAATCTAATATGGTTCTTGCATCCTGCATGAGAGCTTCCCATAAGTGCTGAGTTGGAATGTTATTATTATTATAATAAGGAAAAGGGGGCACCACTGACTTCTCTCCAATCAGTCCTTGTTTCCACAACAAGGATTTGCAAAATCCAATTCTCGGAGGGACAGAAAAAGAGTGAAAATCTAATATGGTTCTTGCATCCTGCATGAGAGCTTCCCATAAACTCTGAGTTGGAATACAAGCAGTCCCCGACTTAAAAGAAACCGTTTACGAACGACTCATAGTTAAGAACAAGGGCAAGACAACAGGAAGTGAGAAGAATCGTCCGCCTTGGAAGGAAGGGGAATCCACTCCTGGAAGAATTGTTATTATTATCAAAATAAGGAAAAGGAGTCTCCACTGATTTCTCTCCAATCAATCCTTGTTTCCACAAGTCGGATTTTGCAAAATCCAATTCGCGGAGGGACAGAAAAAGAGTGGAAATCTAATATGGTTCTTGCATCCTCCATGAGAGCTTCCCATAAGCGCTAAGTTGGAATGTTATTATTATTATCATAAGGAAAAGAGGTCTCCGCTGATTTCTCTCCAATCAATCCTTGTTTCCACAACAAGTCGGATTTTGCAAAATCCAATTCGCGGAGGGACAGAAAAAGAGTGGAAATCTAATACGGTTCTTTCATCCTGCATGAGAGCTTCCCATAAGTGCTGAGTTGGAATATTATTATTATTATCATAAGGAAA